AAACCATTTTTTGTGTAAAGTTAATTTTCATCTAATATCTTGGTTGCGATATTTTCTATGTTAAACATGAAATCTCATCAGTTATATATTTAAAACACTTGCTGGTTTTAAAAATGTCACCAAACTAATACATGCATGTGATATATATGTGTATGCGTGTGTGTGTGTTATATATTTAGATGTTTTTTTTTATAAAATGCGGTATATAAATGTTTACAATCAAAATAATAATATCCAGACAACACACCACACAAACAGGCACACACGCACACAAACACACCTACACGCACACAAACACACCTACACGCACACACACACACACACACACACACACACATATATATATATATATAATACATGTTATGTATTTGTATTTACTTAGTTATATTCCCGTATTTAAGCTAATAAACATTTATTTAAATGTTAGGATTTATTGCAAATTGGGTGATTTGCAAAAACTAATTAGTTGAACTGTTTGAAACAAATAAGTTCAAAGGTCATTAAGATAATTTTGTTTCTACTAGTTGGGTGAAATTTAATGATAAAGTATTATAATTAAAATATTTTTCTAAAAAAATTTGCTACAATTCCAATAAATTAAACAGTGTATATTGAAAAATGATCTTATAAAAACGGATGTTAGATTCTACGATAAAATATTTTAAAGCATTTATACAAAACTTACTGCACATATATTATGTCAAACCTTGAACAAGAACTACCGAAAAATGATAAGGATGTTGAATCTTTCATCAACGCTCATTCACCATCTTCCCCTCAATTCAATCATGGATCGTTCGGGGTACACGAAAAGGACCCTGCAAAAATAGAAATCAGTAGACCTCTCTACACGAGGTCCCTTTTTAATTTGTATGGAGCTTATGACAAAAAGAAGAAGCCCATCAAACATCGTTTCAACGATTTGATACAAAACTTTTGGAATATGAATAACTTTATGCTAAGAATTATTTCATTTTTTCCTTTCTTAGCAATTTTAAGAAAATACAATCTTACCAACTTTTTGAGCGACTGTGTTGCGGGACTGACGGTAGGAATCATGCACATCCCACAAGGTACAATCAAAATTAAGTTTTATATTCTCTGGAAAAATAATTGGTCACTAATTATTATCACTACTGATCATGTGTTATGATTAATTACGAAGGTATGGCTTACGGCATGCTGGCCAACATCGACCCGGTTTATGGACTCTACTCATCTTTCTTCCCTGTAATCATTTACTTTTTCTTCGGCACGTCAAGGCATATATCGATTGGTACATTATTTTCAATGTTCAAATTATTTTTTTTATTACAAATTTTTATTAAATCCAACAGGAACTTTTGCTGTGGTCAGCTTGATGATAGGTGCAGTGGTCAATAGAGCTGAATGTGATACGGACTCCGATACACTTTTGAACAAAACAATAATTAACGCAACATTTGTTAATGGTTCTTGGATCAACATTACGGATGACTATGATTATGCCAAAAGATGTAAACTCGAAGTTGTCGTTTCTCTTACTTTTTTAGCGGGAATAATCCAAGTAAAATATAAATTTTGACGCAATATCACGCACCACTTAGCGTTCAAAATCG